GGGGGGGACATAATTTCGTTGATATATCATGTTACATTCCATTTTAATTCCCTACGAGCTCGCCAGATAATACGAAAAGCGAATTTGCCTGACTATGTAAGTTGAGACGTAAGTCGACACACAGGACGGAAACACGTGAGACGTAATACTCACATTTCACAACATAATTCTCTAGAAATAAGCGGGAAAGCTAAATATTATATAATCTCTCCTATCAATTTTCAATAATTCTTTAAACATCCTAAGCAATTCTTTTTAAATACTTTTACATATAATTAATAATTATATGTATGTAATTGTATCTCTGATCTATTTCTTTTACAATATTGAATAATGGTTTTAGACTGTTAACAGCTTGTAATTGAATTTCCCTGTACGAGAGAGGATATAATTACATCTTCTCTCTTCCAACATAATTACTGAACGCGTAATTTCTATTACAAAATAGGGATTTTTGCACGGCAAAAATCAATTACATATTACGTTATATTTTGCCAAATTTGTACAACATAGCTGAAGCTTGCGATTACCGGAAAAAAATTATATCCTAAATAATATTTCATATCTCTTGATATTGATTATTTCGATGATGAAATATAACTGATATAAAAGTACGAGTTTTACATTTTTCTTTCAATTTAAAGTGTTTCAATTTAAGCAATAAAGAAAATATCGATATCTTTCGATGCATTCCCTATGAAAGGACTTTTCAGAAAAGGCGAGATATCGGAATATACATACACGATGTCGGCGCTATTGATACGCTTATTGCGAAGTCAGATGCCCTTTATGCACGTTTATATGTGTAGCGATGCTATAAACGAAGGAGACGAATATTTTGTCATATCGGGCACAGTATTGCGCCAAATAGCGTTACGATAAGAAATAAAATCTCTCGATATAAAAGCAGATATATCGATATTCGAGAATTTCTCATACTGTTTAATATTCCTCTCTCTATTCAAAATTTAAAGCAAACATTCTTTTGCAAATATAAAAATTCTTTTACAAATATAAAAATTTTGACATTGTGCACACATGCAAGATTTGTAAGAAAATTATTAAGTATTAATCTTTCTTTAATTAATTAATTTAATGTATTATTTTTCTATAACCTATAATTATGTGTGAATATATTTATCTTTATAATTTTTTAATTATAACTATTTAATATATGTATAATAATTATATTTACCTATAATTATGTATAAATCTCTACAAAATATTGCGAGATCTCTATATTTACCCGATTACAGACTCGAGTAACATTCGAGTATAAAGTGAGGTTAGCGCGAATATACGTCTACGATAGAAGATAAAAAATTGAGTTACTCACATTTTCGAAACCCTGCCGACGATATCTCACAGAAGTTTTATGGACGATGGATCGATCGAGAGCACTCCTCATTAATTTTCACTCATCACTTTTCCAGAAGAAGGAAGGACACAAAACACTTGTTACGTTCAACGTACCTAACCTCGTAGCTTTAAGAATCTTCGCGTTCCCACGAACTCTCGTTTTTTAACTGTCACTACACGAATTACGAACAAATAATATAGCACGATCGATTTCGGCTCGCGCGACGTAATCTGTATGTAAATATATCTCGCGCAACAAAACAATATAATGGATATATAATGAACATTTGAGTACTTTCGCGAAATCTCGACTCAATGTGCGTGAACGTTGGCGATGTAACTGTCGCGTTTGACACAATGGCGCCATCTCTCGTGAGACGAAATGTATATTGGTCATAAACATATAAAATATATAGATATAATAAATACTTATTTTTTATGTTCTATTCTCTGTTGCGATACCTACTTCACGCGAATAAAACACACGAAATATTTACTTCTAAACAAAATCGTCGCCTCGATACACTTATTTACGATGAGTTACTTATTTAATAAATTTAATAATTATGCGAAATAATATTCACTAATCTCATATTTATCAGAGAATGATCCCGTAATACTTCACGCATCGCGTCTTGAAAATTAATATGTAATATATGTAATATATGTATATATATATATATATATATGGAGCGCGTTCCATCGCTGTTTACTTGTTGGAATAACAATATGTGAGCACATATAAACATAAACAATGATACACCGCACGTTGCCAAATGTCGGATTTATATACAATCAAAAATTATTAAAATTTGGTTCCAATTATGACTTGCTCACCAATTAAATGCGTCGCGATTCAGAGTCGATCCGTCCCGCGTTCACGACGTTTCGTTACCGACTCCGGAATGACGTTAGCAACGTCACGTCGATTATGGCGGGAAACTGACGCGGTAGAAACTCGCAAAATTTGACACTCACGTTTACTCACGATTTCTAGAGACTCAGTCGAAAATTATTAAAATATGATTCTAATTATGATTCGCTCACCAATTAAATGCGTCGTGATTTTTAGCATCAATCTGTTCCGTTTCGTTAACGCAATTCGAAAATCTCGTAGACGGAATATAATATCACATGCACAATACATTTCAAACATGTATAAACTTATCACGTGTATTATTAAGAGGATGCCGGACCGTCCTGTTTTACCGACCATAATAATTATATATTTGCTTAAGAGGATGCCGGACCGTCCTGTTTTACCGGCCATAATAATTATATATTTGCTTAATATAAAAGTTTTGGCAGTTTGTATGTACAAAATAAGATAGGTTCCCACTCGGAAATGCATGAAAGAATATAAGTGAACGTTTGAAAATGTATTTAGAAGCCTAGTAAAAAACATTTCGGTGTGCAAAATTTTTGAACACCGAAATGTTTTTTACTAGGCTTCTAACAAATACATTTTCAAACGTTCACTTATATTCCTTCATGCATTTCCAAGTGGAGAGGTATCCTATTTTGCACGTACACACCGCAAAACCCTTATATTAAGCAAATATATAATTATTATGGCCGGTAAAACAGGAC